GAAATATTAGTCAAAGATGAATATTATTGTTAGCTTCTCATTTTATCACAGAAAAACCATGGGGTTTCCGTTGACTAATATTTACATGAAAACCTATGTTGATTTCTAATACAGAGCATGAGTAGTCTCAATTTCCATTCTCAGTCTTTGTCTCAGTTCATTGTTTAAAACATAATAGACAACTTGTCAATAATGATGCTATGTATAAGGCAGCATTTTTACTTTCTCTGAAGCAAAACAATTGATTTTTCAAAATAAAGAATTAGAGGCCAAAACTTTGCAATGGAAATTTGCAGTAAATAAAATAATATTTTGCATAATATTTCCCATTAGAATTCTAATAACTGATGCCTTTTGAAATTTTGTAAGAAAAGATTCACTTTGCAGCAAGGGAAGGATATTTTATTGTTGGATCAAAATGAAACAAAGTATAGAGTCAAAGATCAATTTTTATTACACTGGCAAAACTGTTTTTCTCTAATATATGAAGAAAAAGGCAGACAAGATTATACAAAAGACAAACTTTTCTGAATGTATAAAAGTATCCACTTTCATATAGACATACCCTAACCAACCACGTTCATAAATGCATATAGCCTCAGTGAAAGATTTCAGGTATTAAGTAAAATATTCTTCTTGTTCTATATGTCATGTTTCTTCAGGACATGAGCAATCATGACTCTCCTCAATGTTCTATCCTTTGTTAACTGTTAGTAAGATTTGTTTTTTCATTATCCCACCCAATTCCTATTGTGGCATCTATTTACACAAATTCTTTAGGAAGGCTACTAACTGATATCCTCTGTTTCTCCTGCCTGTATATATATCCTGTGAAATTATCTTGGCCTACTTTCCTCATTATATGTGCCAGAAATTTAAACTGTCTTTTTCTGATTCTAATTCTTACTTTCCCTTAAAAATGACAGCTTTAAAATCAAAAGAAAATTTAAAATTGCAAATGTGCTTTTCCTTAAATAACTAGTGTTTCGATGAATAAATTAATGTGACTTTTAATAAGAAATCAAGTTGAAGTTGAATGTTACTAAAATTTCTGAAGAAAATATTTAGTTCAGATAGTTATAAATATTTTTGCTAGTCTATATATAATTCTAATGATTTTTTTTATAAATCTATATGAATTAATAAATAGAAGATTGGGCAGCAGATAGCAGTCTCCATTTTTTTAATTTCCAGCAGCTTCAATAATTAAACCTAAACTATAGAACAATGTTCTTATTTGATGAATTACATTTTTAAAATTGAGTATCTATAAGCTTAATGAAATAAATGATTAAAATTATCATAAAAAATGAAATGAAAAATATTTTCAAAAGAAATGTTAAAATTAGCAAAACCTGCTTATAATTAGTTATTAAAATTATATTTAGATCATGAATAATAACTTAATTTATTCAAATATGTGATCTTCTATACATTGATTTTAACAGAACAGAATTAGTATGTGGTGATGCTGAAAAATTCATTGCCTAACCAAAAATTCTGATATTTGATCATGAGATAGACCAAGAAATTACCAGCACTCATTTCTACATGTATATTTTGTGACGTCTTGATTTAATTCTTCAAAATGATGTAGAATGTCCTTCTTAATAAAATACAGTCATTATGTGCAACCAACTAAAAAATATGTACACACACATCCCACACACACCTTTTCCTTTGATGAAATGTGATGCTAAGTCTAATTCAAGCTAATAAAGGAACTACTTTAAAAAAGAATAGAGTAAGAGATTTTACATGATATTGTTAATATGATGATATATCTTAAGATCTATATAATCTTTTTTAATCAGATTAAAGAATGTATGCAAATTATACATACTATTTGTAAGTGGTCCTGGAAATATTTCTTATATATAGAAAACTAGTATCATCTTTTGATTGTGTGGCAAAAAATGTTCCCATCTCCCAAATAAGGAGAGATTTATCTTGGACAACAAGTCAACAATTCTCTGGCTAATTTCATGGGGAAGTATTTCAAGGATAAATATGTTTTTGGTTTATGGATTTTGGTTGCAGCTCATATAAACAGACATGACTACATCTCTGTTGAAGACAAGAAAAGTGGTTATTACATCTTCAGATGAAGCCATAACAGTTGATAAGAAAAAATGAAGAGATTATAGTCTGCATTGCACAAGTGCCCTCCAGGTTATAAAGAGTTTCCATAAAAGGAATATGTATTGATTATTGTTAGTGCCTAAAGTAGAGGAGGAATTTTGAGAGCAGTTTCCCCACAATGGCTTTTATCAATGTCCTGCATGATGTTGCACATGCACTGGAACATTTTACCTTATACAAACTATTAATCATTTTGATCAAGTATATGAAAAAGCACTTCTCTATGAGATTAAAAAAGGCATAGTATAGAATGTATGCAGAATGATAACACCTACTTCAATTTTTGGTAATGGTTTTCCATATTAATTGTTTTGTCAACTCAAAAACTTTTATATAAAATAAGATTTAAATACAAACAGGTAAATTATATATGAGAGGAGGATAATTTATAATAAGATGTATTGACTGGAAGCTCATTTGGAGACAGTACTATGGCTGTAGTACTGTTGACTAAGTCAACATCATAAAAATATCAAGTTAGCACAAAAGTATTACAAAGTCTTCAAAATTAAAGATTAAAAAAAGATATTGCTTCTTTAATTTAAAAAAATTCAATGAAGGATTTTCTTGTAATATTTGTTGCATCTTACATAATTGTTTGATCAGTTGTTAAGTTCTGTTCTCCAGTTTATTAAAGAGCAAACAAAATTTTAACTTTTCTATATTATAATCTGTATTATTTATAAAAAAATATAACTTATAATCAGACAATATCTGTAAAGACTTAATTGAATTGATAACAAACTCTAATTTCCACTATTTCCACTGTTCGGACTATTGTTCTCATCTTTATTGTCATATTCACAATGTTTTGGATGTTGTACACCCCAGCCTTCTTTAGATAATACATTTCAAACTGAACTCTTTATTTCATCCACTGGGGTAGATTGTTCCAATGTATATCACCTGAAGAAGGCCGGAGCGTACAACGACCAAAATGTCATGAATATGACAATAAAAATGAGGACAATGTAAATAGTGTAAATAGTTACAATACCTCATCTTAGAAATATATACAGAAACTCTAATTTTTTACAAGGAGTTTATTCAAGATTGATTGGTTTCAGTCTGATAATCTTTTGCCCTAATTATTAGTTTAATTCAAATGCTTTCACTTAAATATCAGCCGAAATGATGCAGTTCTATATGTCTTATATCAGAGCAGGTAATGTACTTTCTAACTATAAGATAACTTTATACTCTCTGATGATTATTAGTAAACACTATCAACACAGATTATTTTTAGTATGTTTACAAAGAGCAGTGTTGCTCCTCAAAATTTATAATGAATAAGGAAATGGGAATCATTCTCCATGGTGGTTTGGACACTTGAAAGCAAAGATGATAAAAAGAATAATATCGATAATATGCCTATATTCACAATTTCTGGAAAAAACTTCTATATTTATATTATCTACATTGCTTGAACTGTCCTCATCTTTATTACCATATTCATGACGTTTCAGTCACTGTACACCCTGGCCTTCTTCAGGTGATTGGAATTTTGAACAATCTACCCTGGTGGATGAAATAAAGGGTTCAATTCAAAATTCCAATCACCTGAAGAAGACTGGAGTGTGCATTGGCCAAAACATTGTGAATATGGCAATAAAGATGAGGACAACAGTCTGAACAATGTAAATAATGTAAATAATTACAATACCTCATCTTAGAAATATAGACAGATAAAAACTGCTTTATTTTCTTAACACAAACAAGTTATTTAAGACTGAATTATATTAGATTCTTTGATTTGATTTTTTTTTCTGATCAAGAACAATTTTCATTAAATTATACAAAGACAAAAATAGAACCTGTAAAGAATATATAAACTGAGTGAATATATATATACTGTTCACAAGAAGTATAAGCAAGTCTATGGACGTGTCACTTTAATAACTAAGACATGTGTGTTATACTATGAAACTGTGAAAGAATTTTGTCTTAGTGACATTTACATACCAACAGTAGTAGTTTGTGAAATGAGTCAAAGTGAAAAATAAAGAAATTGAAATGTATTGAAAGTAGAAAAAGATAAAATCAAAATATTATCAAATCAAAAGCTTATTAAATATTTTACTAGATTCTTTGTTGATGCAATAAGGAAGCAAACCAAGTTTTAGTTTGATCAATTTTGCTTAATCTTTGAAAGAAACTGTACTAACTGTATTAATTTATCAAATGTAACAAACATAAATCATATTACATTGTCAGTGACAGAGATTTACTAAATGGCTATAATCAATCTGTCAACTACATGGAAAAAGGTAGTAATCATTTTTTTAGATTTCCTGGATAATATAGATATACATAGAAACATGAGTATGTCTAGAGCCTAATGATAAAAAAGGGCATTAGAAATTGAACATTTTATAGTGAAAATTTAATTTCAAAATTCAGTTCCATATTCAGTTAGCAACTACATGTCTAACAAGGAAATTATTGATCCCTCCTGTCTGTAAGTGAATCTAATATGTACAAAGAATTTAATATTTTACATCTCTATCAAAAGCTATTATTGCTTTTTATAGAAATGTAATTAATCTAATTTTTCTACAAGGATTTTATGGGGTGTGGTGGGGGAATCAGTACAAAAATTTTAATAAAGAAGTAAGTTTAACATATTACAGAATATTAATATTTATTTTGTATTTCAGATAATTTAGGACATAATATAAATACAGTTTTAGTGTAAAATATTTTTACTTTAAAAATCACAAGTAAATAATTGTTGGAAAATTGTTGGAAAATAGTTTTTATAATTAGCATAATTTCTTTGATCTATCTTTCAAATTTTTTATATGAAGTTTATCAACAATTATGTAGTGTGTATACAAATGTTTTGATTTTTCACTTACCTTGCTTTCTCGCATGATACCCTTATTATTATCAGCTGGGAAAAGTTTCAAGGTTACAGGACCACTAAATTTTGCCTGAAATATAAAGGAAGTAAAACATAAAAAAAATGTTCAAATCTTTATCTGTATTAGGATTAATGTTTTTCAAATTTATATTAACTATTACTTGTATATTATATATAATTTATTATCTAATATCTTTTAATCATTTTATGGTTCTATTAAAAATAACTTCATCCTTACAAAATTCCTTCTCTGTTCTATTAATTCAGTATTTTGGCCCAAAGTTTTGATGTTTTACCAGAATCCTACTGAGGCAGAAATTACTGTATGATTATTCTCATAGTATTGATAAAATTTTTTAAAAGCTTGTATGTTACTTTGCTGATAAATGAACCACAAATATGTATTCTTGTTTATTTGATTAATTTTGAGGTGGGCCATTCAGCTAGGGAGAACAAATGAAAAATGCAAATTAAACTTTTATCTTCAACTTTTACATATTGGACCAAAAACAAACAGATAAAAAATCAGCTGAATAAAAAGAAATATGTCTTTACATTAATTGTTTTGTAGTTACAGGCATGAAAGTGTTAGTTATGAACACAGACTATTTTCTATGAGTTTCATAAAAGAAATCAAAAAGAATATATTAATTAATTAATATAGTAATTACTTTTACTAAAAAATGAAAAGCAGGTAAAATAAAATGATAAAGTTTTAAAATATGCTTTATTATATTTTTAACAAATATTCATTATAGATAATAATAAGTTCAGGCTGACAGCTGTAATATACACTGTTTAAAATAAATGGGGCATCTGTTTCAAATACAAGTATATAATAACTTGTGAAGTAATAATAAATGTACATTTTTAGAAATACAGATATGTAGATGAATCATTTATACTAGATCTTAATTAAGTGCAAAAAAATATGAAGTTATGTTAGGTTTGGTGTAGTTGAAGCAAATATTTTTATTTCAAATATTATTTAGATAATTGAACTTGATTTTCTTGAGCATGTTATCACATTTTGGCCAATTTATTTTTCAGCTTTTATTAAGTGTATTATTCATGATAGAAGTGGAAAAAATTCTGAAGAAAATTAAAAAATTCAATTGTTTGAAACATATTTGAACTATTAATGGCTCTACTCAAAGTAACAGGCAATAAATTGTATATGTCTGATTTGAGTTTATTAAAGGTTAAAGTTTAATGATTAATATTTGTTAAAAGCGAATTAAGTATGATAACAATGTTATTTAATCCAAGTAGGTTTTTCCAAAATGTAAGCAAAAAGGAAGAAGCTATGAGAAAAAAGAATTTGAGAAAATAAAGAACATTTTAGACCTTTAATGCCATGGTTAGTTAAATGAGTTTTATACTTATTAAAAGAAAGAAAAAACAATTTGCTTGATTTCAACTTGTCATCATGAATATTGTCACTACAATTTTATGCAGTGATTATATGTGAAATTCTTTATCAATGTGAGGCAATTATATAAAAATGAAACTACATTTTTTGACAAGTTTCACATATTCTCTGCAATCTTTACAACCAGGACAGCAAATTTTCTTTGCTGTCAAGAGAGTCAAAAGAAGTGAATATTGGATTTAGACTTGCTAGCAAGCACTTTCCTATTGATTCCAAATTGCATTTCATGTCAAAGAACACTCTGCATCCCCCAGTATAGCATTATAACTATTGATCTTATGCTTACCAACTGACATTTCTCATTTCTGACATGCATACTTTGATTGCTCAGACCAAAGTACATTGCAAGCATAATGTCTATAAGTTTATGCATCATATTCATTTCAATGTTTCTTTGATTTGATCGACCAATTTTTTTATCTAGCCATTGCTTTTATGAATTCCAGTCAATCACAGTCATCTCTTGACATACTACACAAGAAAAGAATAATGTCATGGCTTCAAAAATTCCCTAAAACATTTTTGATTTACTGATGCAAGTAAAACAAAATATCTATTACAGATTGAGATGACACACCGGTAGCATTTACTGTAAACATTTACCTTGAAAATGAGACCATTGGTCGTAGATCACATTATGTTTCTTGTAAGAGAACAAAGAATAGCTATACTGGTGTAATGGATACACAAAACACATTTAAACATGGATGAACTTTTTCATCTTCATTAAAAGTTTAAATATGACTAATCTCAGAAAATGTACATGCATGAAGGTTTCAGGAATATATGTAAAACAAGTAGTAGTAGTTTAACAGCTTGATTATTTGCTGCTTTCATACAAGACATGCAATAAAATATAATTTTTAAAGCAGTATCACAACCTGTTTTGTTAAATATATTCTATACTAAAGGTTGGTAACCAGCTAAAATTCAATACAGACTTAAAAATAATTTGTATTTCCACAAATGTTTAAAGATTTTTATGCTGTGGTTAATATTTCCATTTTAAAATGTTTATTTCTATTCCAAACATATTGTTTGAAAAGCAAAAGTTACTCTTTGGGAGTTAAAATATAAAAGCAATGATTTGGCCTTTCAGATTTTGCAACATTCATAAAAAAGTCTAATATATCCATTAAATTGAAAAATATACATTAATTGAAAATAGAAGCAAATCAATTTAGAAGAATTATCTCCAACATTTTATCTTACCGAACATTATAAAGAAATACTAAACTAAATTTTATAACCAGCCTTTAATTTTTTTACAAATTGAAATGTTGTTACACTAATTTTAAGAAGAAATTTGAAAGGATTAATTTGAATGAGTTCTTAACTCAAAACAATTTTGCAATTTTCAGTTGGACTGCTGAGAAATCCAATATTACTATGTAGAAAAAATTTCACATAATTTTATCACAAAGTATTTACATTATATATATATATATATATATATATATATGTGTGTGTGTGTGGCCAGCAAGGATTAATAGAAAAGCTTATTATTAATGCCTTCATTTTTCATTTAAAAGTAATTAATAAATGATATGCTATTGTAAGAAGGGAAAGCTATAAAAGGAAGCTCTCTATTGTAATAAGCCATTTACATTTTGCAAAGTGATCACAAATTACTGTCAGTGTAAACTCCATAACTGTAAATTAAGCCATAATATGTCCCAAATTCTCATTAAGATTAAATTTAAACAAAAAGAAATTACATTTTTCTTGTATACAAACTAATAATAATGATGATGTGTAATGACATATATATCAAGCATATTCACCTAGAAATATATAGTGGATTGCAAAAGTATTTCCACTACATGAAAAATATACTTTTATTGTCAAAGTAACTATTTTATTTAAATTATACAATAAAACGCATCCAAATTTGCACATTTGCTTTAGTTGGAAAGTCATTGGAAGAAATTCAAATTTTTGGTTTGCCTTGAATGGCAAATTTATGAAAATGACAAAATATTGATTTGACAGTGTTGCAAAAATGTTTACAACAAATTCATACAATACAGCTAATATTTCATAGTGACTCCATTTGTAATCAATTCCAGTTACTTTGGATAAGCTATGACAAGTTGTGTGCCATGTTCTCTGGACAGTTAAATGCATACTTTGTAAGGCTGCTCCAAGTGAGCTGGATTTGCTGAGGTGACATTTGGTCAACAATAATTTTCAGATCCCTCCAGAGGAATTTTTATGGGATTCAGATGCAGATTCTAACTTGGCCAATCAAATAATTTTTTTTCTTCCAAAACCATTCTTGTGTTGCTTGAGATGTATATTTAGGATTATTGTTCTGCTAAAATGTGAACTTCCTAAGTTTCAGGTGTTTTGCAGACTTGAAGAGGTTTTCCTCTAGAATTTCTCTGTATTTGGCACTATCCATATTACCTTTCTACAGAAAAGTTCCCCAATAATAAAAGAGAAACAGCTTTATATCATTATACTACTAACATATGATATGGTATTGGTCGGATCTTGGTCACTTTTCTTCAAAAGTGGATTCTTTTTTTTTGTCACACCCTGTTAAAGACCATCTTTGTGCAAAGTGTTGGATATTGTGGATTTGTGCACTGTAGCACCAACATGACAAACATACTTCTTCCAGTTTTCAAGAGTGATGGAAGCGTTGGCTTGCCTGAACAATTTGGGCATGGTTCTTGTTATAATATTCTTTGAGATTGGCAGTGGCAGATTCCATTTCTTGATCACAATTACCACAGTATTAATATTGAAGCATAATTAGATCTTTTGTCATGTTGAATTTGAATATTTATGCAACATAGGTGTACCAAATTTGGCAATTTGTTAGAGGCAATGAGAGTTTAGTAGCTATTTAGTAATATCCAATTAAAAGTGTACAATTTCCTTTTAAAAAACTATGGTAAAACATTTGTGTTTGTTTCTATTTTCAAAAACTACATTTTTGCTACGGTTGTGAATTATTTTGCAACCCACTGTACCATAAAAGGAGAATGTTTATATTTTGAAATATTCTAAATACTGATCTTCCTTTAGAAGCATAACAAATTCAATATTTAATTAATAAATGCTTCATTTCTGTTATACTTTATTTATTATTTAATACATTACAAAAGGTTCTTTCTTGTTTTGTAATGTTCTAGATAATTTCACAATTGTAGAAGAAATCAGGCATTTAATGCTGTCCAATTAAATGAGCAATGAGTAAAATTTTCCAAAAACCCAAGCTTTATGATTATTGTGTATACAAAGACCCAATTATCCCAGATCTGTTTGATCCCAAATTCTTGTGCTAATTGCTACAAACATTCCTGGACAGTTTTGGTTGCTTTTATGCTGAATTAATTTCAGCTTATATTCTAGATAGAATATTATAGTCAGTAAAAGATTGCATGAAAAGGGAGATTGTACTTTTTGTTGATTTGATACAGAATACTCAAATGTCTGCAAAAAAAAAAAAAGCTCTGTGTATGAAAGCAAAAGTTTACTCACCAACAACTGTACAACTTCTTTAGGGTCACAACCCTGAACATTTGTCCCATTTACTTCACAAATTTCATCCCCAACATGCACCAGACCTATAAGAAAAGAGAAAAATCAACTCATAGAAAAGCTAAGTCATATCAATATTCCTCATTTCCATTAATTGGGGGAGGGGGGAATGTCCAATAAACTTTATTTTCATTAATTTATCCATGAAAGGAAAAATCTAAATTGCTAACCCTTTTTAAGACATGATTTTTATTCTATCATGATGCAGAAATGACTAATTTTCAATAAAATCCCAAATAACTCAAACATGAAAGCAAATCAATACAATCAGAATGTATCAATCATATAACATGATTTCATACAAGTGTTAACATAAAATGGATTTTAAGATGATTATAACATTCTGACTATATAATCTCTTGTCCTGGCTTTCAAAAGTTATATTTTTATTATTAAATAAGTGAATATAATTTAAGGAACAATATCTACAAGTTAATATCAAAACTTCAGAAATTATTTACATTATTTACATTGTTCAGATTGTTGTCCTCATCTTTGTAGCCATATTCACAATGTTTTGGCTGTTGTATGACCTGGCCTTCTTCAGGGGATTGGAATTTTGAACTGAACTCTTTATTTCATCCACCGGTGTAGATTGTTCTAGTTCCTTGTCATGCCTCTTCCAGATTTATCTCCCTTTAGCTCAACTCTCTAAGTTTTTGTTCACATCTGCTGTAGCCAGAACTCACAACTCTTTGGGTTAAGTCACTGGATTCAACCAATGCTTTTATCTATTGGGCCATGTGTCCTTGAGGGCATCAGTGTATGTATTTTGTTTATAATAAACTTAATGTCTCAGTAACCGTTTTTTACCAGAGCTCATATTGCAATTTTTATTGTTATTGTTACTTTTAGCACTCTGTATTGCTGGTTCCTATATTGTGTTCTTTTCTATGTTTGGCTGGCTTAGGATATTTTTTGTGGCCTAGCATATGCACTGATTCCTTAAGTTTTTGTATTTTCCACTAATGTTCTCTGCTTATTACTTCAACCTCGTCCAACATGGGTCAGTGATCTCCCTTTTCTCTCCATATGTGGTCAGTTATGCCTGATTTTTCTATTTCTCCTCATGTTATGGTTTTTTATCCTGTTGGAAAAGGTCTTGAACCTCTGGAAATATCAGTTGCAGCTTTCTGAAGCCTTCTTCAACAGGATTACAGACAAAGAAAACCGAAAGATGATCCAACATGATCTGGATAAATCCTTCAGACATGAATTTGATGCAGTCAAGGTCTGCCAAGTACAAAAATTAAACAGATTGAAAAATCCATCACCCCCCCTCTTCAAGTGAAGACAGTAATTAACATCAGTCAACACTAGCTGAGTGCCTCTGAGGAGTCAGTACTGAACAAGGGTCTCAACTTCACCACAACCATCAGGTGTATACCATATTTGGACATCATTGCCTGAATCGAGGAAAGAACCTTGAACATCCCTCAGGCTCGGACAGATGAGCTAAGATGGAAAGTGAGACAGATACTGACGAAAGCCAAATCAAACATCACAAAACTAGAGAGGTTGTCAATCAAGACCCAACAGAAGAATGAAAATATCATCATACTACCAGTTGACAAAGGCAGTGCAACTGTAGTGATGGACAAATACAGGAAAACTGGAAAACTTCATTTGAAATGGTAGCTACAGTAAAGTAAAGAAAAATCCAACAATGAAAACAGAATGAAAGCTGTTGCAGATCAGAATCAAAAACAAGGGCCACTTCCCATGTAAGACAAGCAGGCAGTTGTCACAGCATTACACAAAGCTACCTCACATATACAGTCTCCCCAAAATTCACAAGGATGGTATCCTGCTCAGACCAATTGTTAGCTGCCAAGGCTCTGTGTGCCACCCTCTGAGTTGCTTCCTTGTAGATATAATTGACCCATTAATAGGAAAGTCACTTTCATATGTCTGAAACTCCACCCACCTCATGGAAATAATCCCATCCACTCCATCCAGATGGTGAGCTTGGACATAGTAAGTTTGTTCACCAAGGTACCCATGGAGGAGGCACTCGGTACTCAGGAACAGACTGGCTTCAGACTCATCCCTAGGAAAATGAACCAGTATACCAATAGATAACCTGATGGAGATGCTGGGTTTCTGTACACAAACAATATACTTCAGAATGGGATCAAACAGGATGAAGGCTTAGCAATGGGCTTGCCATTATCACCAGCAATGGCAAACATATACACGGAATACTTTGAAGAAATGGCATTAGAATCCACCTCACTAAAGTCAGCTCTATAGCTGAGATACATAGATGACAGCTTCATACTCTGGCCACACCAGAAAGAGGTCCAGCTACTACTGGACTAAACTCAATTAGATGATTGATACAGAGAGAGAAAATAACAACAAACTAGTAATCCTGGATGTACTAATATCTCAAACAGAGCAGGGGTTCAAGGCATCTGTATACCACAAGTCAACATTCACCAGACACCTCAACTCCCACCATCCTTATAGCATCGAGCAAAAGTTATAAGTGGTGATCCAGAGACATATGAACAAGAAAAGGTCAGTATAAGCAGTACCCTACAACATAACAACTACCCTGGGTACATGGCAGAAGCTCTAACAAACTAGGATAGAAGGGAACAAGAGGATAACAACACTCAGAAAACAGCTTCAGTCTGTCTATTTTTTCCAATAATCCCTTCAGGGATTATTGGAAAAAATACGAAAGATCTGTTGTCCATATAACATCAGGACAATCTTCAAAAGTGGTTCAACACTTCATTGACACTTCTTCAAGTAAGACCCCCCCCATAGATGAGAACATGATTAAGGACAGTGTGTATGCCATCACATGGAGCTGTGGTAAGAAATATAAAGGAGAAACAGGCCGCCCCCTACCCCTTAAGATAAGACTGCAAGAATATCGTAAAGACATAACATGAGGAGAAATAGAAAAATCAGATGTAGCTGACCATATATGGAAGTAAAGGAGAAATCACTATTCCCTGTGGGATGAGGTTGAAATAACATCAATGGAAAATATGAAAATTTAAGGAATCGGCAGATATGCTAAGCCACAAAGGACTCCTAAACCAGCCAAGCATAGAAATGAATACAAAACTGGAACCAGTAATACGGAGTGCTAGAGAAAAGCAACAATAAAAATTGCAATATGAACTCTGGTAAAAAACGGTTACTGAGACATTAAGTTTATTATAAACAAAATGCATACACTGATGCCCTCAAGGACACATGGCCCAATGGATAAAAGCATTGGTTGAATCTGGTGACTTGACTCAGAGTTGTGAGTTCTGGCTACTGCAGAGGTAAACAAAAACTTAGAGAATTGAGTTAAAGAGAGGTAAATCCGGAAGAGGTATGACAGGGAATTAGAACATTCTACCCTGGTGGATGAAATAAAGGGTTGTTCAAAATTCCAATCACCTGAAAAAGGGAAGAGCATGAATCTGTCAACAAAGATAAGAACAAGAGTTCAAACTATGTAAATAGTGTAAATAATTACAATATCTCATCTTAGAAAGAGATACAACTTCAGAAAGTTGTCTTTTTCAGAAAGAAAAAATATAGAAATTGAAAATAATTTTGATTATTTTTATCTTCTCAGCTTATAATCTTCTTAAGGAAGCAAATCTTACTTTTGTAAAAAAAAAAAGAGACAAGGAAAAGTACACACAATGTATTTTGGCTGCAATTCTAATTACAATTGTCCTTAGACAAGTGAAACTGGAATATTTTTATCTCTGGTTGTGTGATTGTTTCTTTTGCTTTCTTTGGCTTTCCAAATTCAAAATATTCAATATTCTCTTTTGAATTATTCTCTCTGACCAATGTCTAAAAGATATGCTTTATTATTGACTAATTTCATAGTCTGCTTCATTGTTTCTTGCCTCTTCCAAAGTAGTTTAGCTTAATTGATTCTTCAGAATTTTTAAGTACAATGGCTAATACTTAAAAAGTATATTGCCTATTCATTAAGAAATATAGAATTTGTTATCAACCACTAAAGTTCTCATTATTATGACTTGAGTCTTCCTTACAATCAGCCTCTTTGGAAAGTTGAATTTTTGTCAAGTTTTTGGGAACAACCTTGATTCCCATAGAGTGCATAAAGCAAGTACAAGTAATGTCAATGTTTAAGAGAGCTTTGTTTCTTTTCACTATCTTCCTATTCTTAGAAACAATTCTGATATCCCAAATTAACATCAGTCACAACAATAGAATAAGGGAATAGTTTCTGTATTTGTTTTTCTCTTGTGGCCATTATAGAAAGGTTTCATGCCAATTTTTTCCATATTATCCTTGAAAAGTCTCTCCATAATTTGGTCAGATTTAGTTTATATTAAAATTATTTGTTGTATGCTTTAAAGCTTTATCCTATGCAAAATGACATAATCCAAATTTGCCTTTCTTTGTAAGAAATTTAAGTCAGATATAAATGATTTTAGACAAAGATAACCAAGTTCAGATTTATCTATTTTCATGTTATGGACAAAATTTTAACTTTTGCGTTCTCTTGATAAATAAGAAAGTAAATTAATGATAATCAGATAAAAGAAAATAATAATTGCTTGAACTGAAAATATTGCAATTTGATGACAAAGCAATCTAATTTTAGCTTTAATTTCTTTGCAATGAATTTACTTGTAAATTTTATGAGCAGTGGTGATAAATTATCTACCTCTCCACTATCATCATTGGCACAGATACTATCTAGTTTTGTGCCTGCTGGCAAAATCATGACAACCATTTTTAATTTTTCTCTCCTCTTCTTGTCTATTCTTATTATTTTAGCTTTGTTCCCTCACATCTAAGTGCATGATGCAATGGTCTTTTTCAGCTCATTAGACTGTCAGTGAAATATTTTATAAAAACATCATCCTTTAGGATAAATTCCCTATGGTTGTTTTTTTATTTTGTGTTTATTCTTTTCATTGTCACCATTATAATGTACCTGTAACTTATTGCTTTATCCAGATTTTATTTTATATTTTATACTATTTTTTTTAATTATTTTATAGATTCTTACTTTAAGCACTTCCAATCATGTTTTCCAATTTTACAGTTCCATGCACAAACTATCTTGTTTGAATTTTAAATAATTTTTCAAGTGCTAAAAAAAATTAACATTTTCTAAATTCATTTTTATGTCTTTAAATTTAACTCATATTAGTAAAATATGGTTCTTTGTTAAAATATGGTTCTTTGTTAAACAGAATTTCAGAAATCCAATGAATTGTTCATAGCTAACTTAAGAAAGTAAAAAGGTCATTGAATAAAATATAAATCACTATATATTTCACTGGTTTTACAATATATGATAAATATAATAAACTATAGATGACTATTTGAATACATAATATATTTTTGATTCATAAATCTACACTCAATATTGAAAATTATTACATAGACAAACAGTGTGATTTAAATCTATGTTGCTCTGATGTTACTTGTAGTTTATAGAGCTATTTTTCACAATAAGAAAGTGTAAAAAATATTTAACCCTAGTAATAAGAAATTATTTTTTCAATTATAAATATATTTGATCTGCATACAATTCAGAATTAAATCAAGAATAAATATTTGAAAATAATATTCTATAAAATAAAAGTAACAAATAATAAAGATATCTTTACATTATCTTGAATTTTTTGTTGCATGTAATATGAAATATTTATTAAAAAGAAATATGATATTTTAAGAATATATTTTTAATGCTTTAAACTACCACCAATCAGGATGAATGGTGGCTCTCTCTTAGAAGCACGATACCTTGTAAGACTGTTGGGCCTCAAGCTCACACTCAACATCAAGTGGAACTTGTACATACAATCCATTGCTAACGATGCAGGTAAAATGGTCGGCTCTCTGTTCCACACCAGTAAATACCTGAATCCTCCCACTATCCTCTACCTTTACAAGAGTCAGATCAGGCCAAAAATGAAGTGCTGTTGTCATATTTGGGTGGAAGCTGCCCAGCCCTCACTCTCTAGGCTTGATAGAGTTCAAAAGCATCTCTGAGCCCTTGTGTGGGTGATGAATTATTCTCCATCCTTCAACCTCTCTCCCAGAGGTGGGATGTGGCAAGCCTCTTGCTACTACCGCTACTTCCATGGAAAGTGCTTGAACTACATTCCCTGGTCCCATTGAGATAAATCTTCTCAGCAAGAACACACCATGCCACTTACATAGAAGCAAACCACCCACATTCCCTCTGTATTTTATCAGTGAGAAGTAAGTTCCACTTAAGCAACTTCTTCCTGCATACCACTGCCCTGGGGAACCAACTCCCAATTAGATGTTTCCCTGATCACTACAATCTTAACCAATTCATGGCTAAGGTTAACTATAATCTTTCACTTCTATACACATAAATGGCCTCAAAATGTAACTTCTACCTTGAGTGGCCCCCAGTGCCTTGAAAAAACAAAAAAAGAGGATTTCCTGATAGTTTCTGGTTAATCAACTGAAGTTTTAGAAAAAAGAAAATTCATTATATGCATATATAGTTGCACTTAATCAGTAACCAAGAAGAAATAAAGGTTTTATATTGGACTAAATAATAACACAAAGTATTCAATTGTTTGATAGGTAGGAAATATGTAGACAGTAAAAAAATTAATTTAACATTTTTTTATTCTTGTCAATTAATATATGAATCCAACATATGTAATGTAAGTCTCTTCATATTCAAGCTCTAATGTACAACATTTAAAGGAACATTTCTGTCCATATTCATGATTTAGAGAAATATTAATTGACAATAAAAGTATACTCCACCATGAAATTAAAAAACAAAAACTTCAAATCCTTGAAGATCTCTATATAAGAAAAATACAACCAACAAGATTATGAATATAGCAACAATGTTTTAAAATGTCTATAACAGCAAGTTTTTAAAATACTTAAATTGTAGTTTTTTAAAAAAATTACAATTATAACAGCAATGTTTTAAAATACTTAAACAATGTTTTTTAAAAATATTATAAGTATAAATTAATAATATAAATAAGTTACCTTCCTTAGATAGCATTAATTTGTGAATTAACAGAGCACATTTCATGTGCATTTACAAAAAATTCCAAATTATCAATTACATTAATCTTAGCAATTCACTCCTGAAGATGATCTTTGATGAGATTGAAAGTACTTGGAAAAATAAAAGAAATGAAAAACATTATGGTACCTCCCATAATGAGTTTAGTAACAGCATTAAGAAATTGATCGATGAATTTGAGAGGATTAGAATAAAATAAATAGATATAATATGTCTAGATTATTCAACCAAACATGCTTGAATGAAGATATGCTGCCTAAATATACATGCATACACATTTTGCTGTTACACCCTGAAGAGTGGACAGACAGATCCACCTATGAATGGAGTCAGGATGCTGAGCATAACATGAATCAGCTAAGTGACAAACATTTCCTTTTATATATATATATATATATATATATATATATATATATGATGAACTCTCTTGTCAATTTCAATGTATAAAGAGGATCCAGCAACCTCATTCAGTTTTTATGTTTGTGTTGTATGTGACACTTCAGTCCGCATATTGTGCAACAGTGAAGATTTTGGGACACAGCTCCAGGAATATTTGCTATATACTTTTTGCCATTCTCTTTTGTCTCTTAGCTGGTCAATACAGCTGATTTAGAAATTTCTGATACCATTCAGGCACAAATATCTCAAGTTATTTCTATACAGAGCATATCACTTGAAGTTAGTATGAGGCATATTGACAACTGAGAGGTTACTCTTTAGCTTGTTTTTATACCTGTGCCACAGCTGTTCAACAGTCCTTTGTCCACTGTCAAGTTGGCTATAGATGAGGACCTTAGGTATTCTGTTGTCACTCATACTTGCAACATGACCAGTCCAGCAAAGTTGTGACTGCATTTGTGAAAAGATCAGCATTGGACACCCTATCAAAAGTATTGCCACTGATCTCGTGGAAACATTAAAGAGAAATATGATTTTATGACTATTTTTCCTGGAATAGATTCAATTATTAACCACTTAAATGGATTTTCTGTAAAGTAAATGAAAGTCTCAGAATCAATAAATTCAGTGATCTTACCACTTCTGTCTGCTGCCCCACCACGCAAAATCCTGGCTATTTCCAGGCTCTGCTTCTTTTCATTTTTTTGTATGGTTGCACCCTATAAAAGAACCAAAAATGTTATAGTGGATTGTATGAAAACAATTCATATTATTTCTGATACAGTATAATTTTAAAAGAAACAATAATTATATAAAAACATTAAGTTTTCAATTATTTTTGTAGAATTCCTAAAAGGTAGACATAAATCAAATGTAGCAAAACATGTCACTGAAGGAAAAAATTTTAACCAAAAAACTTATTGGAAAAGAAACCTATTTTTCCAATATTTAAAGAATTCTATTTTATGGAAAATCTTTACATAATTTTGATATCTTTTAAAAATGTCAAATCATCAAGCCAATCAAATTGAAAAGTAGAGCAGTAATTTTGACTATTTTTGCTGATAACTATGTTCAAGTCATTAATTTGGCCATTTCATGTCTAAGATAGATTTTGATTATTTGATCACAGCCTTAAATCTGTTTTTATGAATTTTGCTTTTCTAAAAGAGATTTTAATGTCATTTGCAAGTTATCTTAAATTAAATTTTCAATGTTATTTTATAGCATTAAGAAATTATTAAATTTATTATGTTTTTCTGGAATTAAATGTTTTATTCATTAATATTTAAAAATCAACTAATACATTATATACTCAATTTCTTTTGTTTAAATAAACAAAATAGAATAATTTAAATTTCATTTGTAATCTTTTATGTAGATAAAACTGGAGTGAGATGGCATGGGCAACAGGATTTCAATTTTAAAGTGTTATTGATAAATATTGATAGTAGATGATATTATGTTCACATGGAATAATTATTTGGTATTTATTGTTGACTTATACAAATAATTTTTACTGCTGAGTTTATAACTTTCTTTTAATTTTTAAGTGAAAACAATGAAAGTTCATTTGCTCCATTAAGTAAAAATAAAACATTTTTAAAATTCTTGGCATTACCTTGAATGAACAATATATTTATCAGTAAATTTCTATCTTTTACCATCTTTCTGACAACTTCATCCCATCTGAACTTTTATCTTTCTTTGAAAAGAACTACTCTAGGTGAATTTTGTAGTCTTGTAGAGAATTGCTGTTTTTTTTTCATTTAGAGAATTTTCTAAAGAAACAAATAGTATTCTGAAGGTGAAACATCTGGATAAGTGAAAATTTCCCAATCAAAATATAACAATTTTTGCTTGGTTTACCAACAAAATTGCAGTCTAGCTTTATCCTGATAAACAATATGGATTGTATCTTAACTAATTCCAGATGCTTATTGAAGAAGTGTTGCCTGGAATTGGTCTGATTGGGAGCAGTACTTATTTGAAAACTATTCAAAACTACTCATAATAGAAACCTCACCATATATAGAGCATCAACTTCTTTAGATTTAGAATCTCTGACATTCTATATTGTTGTAAATTATCCACTTTTCATCACTGATAACAATTTAAAAAAGAAGAAAAATGTTTGTTAAATAGAAAAATCAAACATGAAAATACAGTCCAGTATTTTTTATGTATTTGGAAATCACACATCAAAGGGACTAACAGTCAATTTGGTGCAAATGATTTTCAGTGAGTTTTTTTTTTATATTTTAAGTTGGTTATCTACTTTGATTATTCTCATGTAATGACTAACAATTTCAACTGATCTACACAAATATGAAGCAAGAGTAAGAATTCTTTAGCACAAAACTTTTGATATAACTCTTGATTAGCTTTCCATAAATTGTACAAATCCTTTTCTTGCATTTGATTCACATTTTATTTTTCTTAAAAAAGAATAATATGCCAAAAACACTGTTTTATTCTTTCTTCAATGTTACAATCAATAAACAAAACTATGTCAGTTTTGATAGAATTTTTTAAAATACATATCGCAAGTATCAAATGTAATCTTTAACAACAAAGTTAAAATTAAACACTTTTCGTATAATCTAAGAACAAAAACAAAACAAAGTTTTTGACCAACACCATATAAGATGAGCAAAATTAAGCTAATTGCAAAACTGAAATGTATGTGAAAAGGAGGAATTATATCACAGATTGTAATAGATACATATACAAAACAAAGAATTGAACTTTAAGACATTCAGCAAGAAAGGTGTGTGTGTGTGTGTGTGTGTACAATTTCTTCTGCAAATAAAGCTTTTATGCAAAAATTTTTCTATCTCTCAAGTGCTATCAAGATAAATCTTCTCAAGAGTGATGAAGCAAGAAAGTATTTGCCTACTTTAGTGCAATAATTGATTGTTGAGGTAATTGAAAGAATAAGATGGATCACCAGATTTTGTCAAGTGGATTATACTGGAAGTTGGAAGAGTAAAATTAACAACTAAAAGAAATACCTGGCTGAAAATTCAAAATCTCAAAGGAAATGTGTATTGTGACAAAATCTCAATATAAAAAAAGAACATTTTCAGAAACTGAAAAAAGACATACACATTTTTGTGGAACATCTTTTTAAAATATTTATTAATAGCAAAAATGCCAGAAAAAATATTTTAAATTTTAAGTTTTCTCATAAATCTTTAGTTATATAATATACACATTATCACATTATCTTTTATGTAATTAAGATCTATAAAACAACAAGCATTTTAAAGATATATGATAAAACTAGTAAAGTTGTGAAATGAGATATGTGTGTCTGTATTAATAAACTGATAATGAATGAATGATCATAGAAGCTTACATTTCACAAAGATTTTGTATTTTGCAAACAACAACCAACAAAGTTGCTTTTCTGCCTTTGATGTTAAACAGAATCAAATGAAAAACAAACAACAGTCAGCCTATCTCTACATAATCTCAGATAAGAAACACATGAATGGATTCTGCATGTTTTTGACTGGCATTGGAGATTTAGTAAATTTTATAATCTAATCATGAGTTTGATTAATTTAGGAGCCTTCTTTTATTTACAAGTCATTAACATTCTTGTACAAATTTCCTTCTAAATCTCACTCATTTTTTACCCCAAGAACATTCTCTCTATTGAACATTATGCACATAGCTTTGTCCATGGTTTCTGCTATCATCTATAAACTATATCCCACAATGCTTGCAGATTCAACAGTATCCTTACAATTGTCCTAAAAATGTGCTCCTGAACTGGCTCCTGTTCTCGCTAAACTTCATAATAAATGCCTCACTACTTCTTGATTTCCAGCTTGTTGGAAGTCCTCCTTTGTAGTTCCTGTCTTTAAGAACTCTGGGGAACCTTCTGACCCTTCAAATCATTGCCCTATTAGTCTCTTACCTCTTTTTGGAAAAGTACTAGAGACTCTAATCAATGTTGATTTTGGTTAAGTCTCTTACTTCATATAGCCTTCTTTTGGATAAACAATATGGCTTCCATTTCTCCAGGTCTACTGCCAATGTGTTAACTGCTATCACTGAAGGTCATGTTGAGTAGGTATGCTTCTAGTTCATTTCATATTAATGCTGGGATCCTCCACGGCTCTATCCTTAAACTTAAACTGTTTCTGATATTCACCAATGACCTTCCCGATGTAATCAGTTCCCAACTAGGTATTTATGCAGATGATACAACTATTTACTCTTGTTTTAATAGCAAGTCTGACAGATCAGACAAATTAAAACTGGTAACTACTCTTGAAAATGACTTCCAATTAGTGGTTAACTAGGGAAAAGAATGGCTTGTAAATTTTAATGCCTTTAAAACAAAACTGCTTTCATTTAATTATCACAGAGGATCTTTTCTGTCTGACATTAGCATTGCTAATGCTAAACTTCAGGAAGGCAACTATTTGTGCTTTCTTGGCTCACATTTTCTACTGACAAGAAATGGAAAGATTAAATTGAATCAATTATTAAGTCTACTGCTATGAAAGTTGGTTCATTGTGTTATGCTAGACAATTTTCTCATCAGAATCCATCTTGCACATTTATAAATCTACCATTTGTCCATGCATTGAATACTGCTGCCATATCTGGTCTGGTGCTACTATTATACATCTTCAGATTATTGACAAAATCCAAAGAAGGGTCTGTAATGTAATCGATCCTGATCTGGCATCTCAGCTTCAGTCATGCAACATGTCTTTCCTCTGTTTTTTCTAAAAATATTTTCATGGCAATTGTTTTGATAAGCTATTCTCCTTAGTGACTTGACTGCATGAATTTAAATGTTCTACTGTTGAACTAGCTAGATGCAACCATCAATTCTATTCTAATGTTAACATAAAAAAATTGATAGCAATAAAGATATATTCACTAGCAAGTTATTTTTCAAATAAAACTCTTAGAAATTTCCATTAATAGCTAAAGACAGCAAATAGAGAAATTGTTACAGAAATGTTTAATGCTATTATTAATAATGAATATTTTCATTTATTTCTTTGAAAATCAGTTTTATCAGTGTTGCAGAGGATCTTAAAGTTGAAGTGAAATGGAAATTATTAATTCAAAGTAGGCATATTAATTTAATATTAGAAATATTCTATAGAGAAAAATTTAAAACTGAAAAGCAGTTTAAATTGAAGAATGATGTTATCTTTTACAAGATAATTCTTTAGTCACATTTGATAAACAGATTTCATTTCAACATTCATATTGATAAAAACAATTAAAATAACTAATGAAACATAATGTTAAGACAATTCAGGATAAAAGTTTTCACTCCTTTAATAGAATCTTAATTTATGACAAGGAAGTTCATCTCTAAAATTAATAAATGAGAAAAAAATAGTTTGTTCAAAATGACAAGCTTTTATATATTGATAAAGAAGGGATAATTTAAACTTATCCAAATAGTTAATGAGATCTGAAAAATAGAATTTACAAATGACATATAATCTGTGAATACATCTTGATGAAAAATTAATTTCTATATATTTTATTAAATATTTAAACAAGTCCCTCTCAGAAAAAAATAATAACTTCATGTTAGATTTTAATTAAATCTAAAACTTAAATTAAATTTTTCTGTAAAAGTAGAAAAATTTCTTTTAGAATGAATAACAAATAAATTGGTAGATGCTTAAGGCAATTTAAAATTGAAATAGTCAGATTTATTTTTACAAAAATA